CACTTTGTAAAATGATTAAAAAAAATTTTTTTTTCCATCTTTAGTTTTTACCACAATACTGTGATACTGTGTCAATACATTGAAATCAACACCATATAATCAGCAAGTAGTCTTTTATTAGATTTGAAATATCATCCCACATTAAATCACCTGTATTTCATGGACAGTGTTTTAACATTGTGTTTTTCATCTGGGGTATTGCAGAAATTAGATAGGGATGTCACAAGATTTTAAATGAAAATAACAAAGGCTTTATTATAATTAAAAAAAAAAGTGAAAAAACACACTTACCACAGGTTTGTTTGGGAGATTTTTTAATTGAAAAATATTAAAATAAAGAAGTTTTGCTACCATTAATTAAAGTACTGTAGTGATTATTATTTGTAAGAATAAGCTTTATAGAAAATGAAACATAGGTATGTAGTTATATCCTTTTTGTACATGTGTTCAAAGCTCATGTGAAAATTGACTGGGGGTGGTGTAAAGTTTGTATTTCCAGAGAAGGAATAATTTCACAAGAGTGAAAAATACATTTACCATAGCTGTCTTTGTAAAATTTTTAACTAAAACAAAAAAAAATAAGAAAAAGTAAAACAGTTATGGTATTGTGGTGATTATTATATTGATCATTGTATATATTATATAAAAATACAGAAGGGGTGAATAAATATCTGTCTGTAGTTTTTTTATGCAGTGTGTGCCAAGTTTTTTTTTTTTTTTTTTTTTTCTATTTTACCCAATATATATGGTTTGAGAGCTACTGAAGGTAAAAGGTTACAGTCAAATTATCACATAGTTTACATTTCAGACTGGCGAATTTACAGCTAAATATTTTCTTGACCAAAGTTGAAGACCTGTTCATTTGTTCAATGCCAAGTCAAGTGATAATCAACTGTCCCACTAGGATGTGGCAGAAAGGCCATTAAGTTGGAAAGAAATATTACGATCTGTTAAGGATGGGTGATATGAATAGATTAGTAGGTGACAGGAAGTAGAGATATTGAAAATAAATATAACGGTCAATGATTGATCCTTGACTTGAAGATGTTGAGATTGTAGTATTTAGGGAAGCACCTATGCAGGAGTCTGTTTCACAAAGTAAAAGTACTTGATGAAGATAGGGAAAACCGTCTTGAGTGCTGTTTCCTTCTTACATTTGGAAAATCACAGGAAATAAGTGGATTGTGAGAGACTTACATTTTCAGAATTGTTCTATGTTGGTTTGGCAGAATTATTGGAGTTGCTTGTGTGAAGTAAACTTAGAGCATTTAGATGTTGCATTAAATGCAAAATATGGTTTGCTGGAACTGAAGTCTTATCTCTAAGGCATCCTGTGACAAAAAGCTGACACTTTGTATCCTTTTCTTATATACTTTTGGCAATGCCATCTACTGGTTGATAGAGGTTTTTTGGCAGACTATAATGTCGCAATCCTGCCCTCAGTCACCAGATGATTACATGGTCACTCCTTATGGCTAGCCTTGGAGTTGGTTGTTTGATCTTTATTTTTTCCGCCCTGCTCTACATTGTGCTTGTTTTAGATCACAGGGTAGGAAAAGGCCGAATTGTATACTCAATGTTGCTGATTCGGTAGCTTTGGCAAGATGACATCACAAGGAACAAAGTAAGAGACAGCTGTGTAACGCAACAACTTTATATCAAAAGTTCATACAATAAACGTTCTAATCACTAGATTCACAGCATGCAGATTTTCAGCACCCCCCCCCTATTACCCCATGATACTATGTCTAGCCACACTCAATAAACTGGTACAAGGCAGAAGGTGTATTTGGTAGTCTGGAACAAGGCTGGAGTCCAAGTTTTTTTTTCTGCAGAATCTGCTCTGGGTTTTAGGGGGCATGAGGAGGTTGGGAAATTGATTGCCTGACCAAATTTGGAGATCCCTCCTCTGAAGAGTGGTGGTGGCAGAATATCGATCTGCCCAACACCTTCCATCTTGTGTATGTGCCTCTCACCATCACCACCTGAAGTGTACAGGTGATTCTTCTGCCTTCCTTGAAATTCTACCTGTGCCTCAATTGCTAAATTTAATTATCCAAATTTTCCATCAGCGTTGAATTCTTATGTCCTTATGTGGTCAGCTGCATCTGGAATCCTTACTTGTTGCTTCTCTACACAAACCTGTGGGAATAGAGGTAGATTCATACATTTCCCATGCTTATTTGCATAAGTAAATATAACAAAACCAACAGAAAATGAACTTGGCTCTCTAATTAACAATTCCCAGCCATTATCCATTACACCACCTGCACATCCAAGTTTACAGCATGTGGCTACTCCCAAGCAGTCACCATCTAGGTACTGACCACTCAATACTGCTTAACTTTGGTGATTGTACAGAAGCCAGTGTTTAAACATGATATGGCCGTAGTCTTTTCAAAGACTACTTGCATGTATATGAGTGTAATGAACTCAACAGGAATTTAAACTTGGCTATCCAATTTCTCATTTCAAGTCACTAACATTGTACCACTCGCACATTCCCCCCCCAGATAAGAACAAGAAATAGAGGGTACAATTTGATAAGGGTCACAACAATTGGAAAATAGGAGACTGAAAAAATGTTGGCTGGTCTGAATTTTGATATCAGTTGGTCGATATGGTCAGTTTGGCAAAAACATGAAAATATGGATCCATCCTGCCTTGTATCAATAATTCAGGTGGATGGTGGTGGTATAAGATTATGTGAAATATTATCTTGGCATACATTGGGATCCTTGTGATATCCGTCTTAGTTTTTGCTGTTGTTGAAAGTCCTCAAGTGATGTGGTTTGTTATCTGGTACAATTCATTGTTTGTGTTTTTGTGGCAGCAATCCACAAGGTTCATTGAAAGATGGTCTAGGATGAAGTTCAGATATTTTTAACCATTGACTTTAGAAAGCCAACAGTTTTAGATCGTTTGGTATCGTTCATGGCATCTTTATGAATGTCTTCATCTGACAAGACTACAAACATGACTCGCATTTTTAGGTTAATGTTTTGGTTTTGCAGCAGCTTGAGATGTTGGGTGAAACTACCCCTAGCACAGTTTATTCTATGTTCAATTTCGTTATGTCCTATACTAACTTTGTTATAACTGATTTAAATACTGGGGTATTTAAAATGTTTTAGTATTTACTAATTCCACATCCTGAATTTTTATGGAGGATTCAGGGTATGTGTCACTGCTACCTTTCATTTCAATATTGACTTTCATAAGAAAAAGGGATGCAAGTTGATATCTCACCAAGTCTTTATTTTTATTTTCAATAAATGCTGTTTACTTACAGCCATAGAATGATGCTCTAAGTAACTGTTGTGAAAAGTAACTGAAATTAAAATGAAAGAATTTTAAAAATATCAATACTGATTGATTGACATTTTGTTTATTAATACTTATTAAAGATAATAGTATTAACTCCTTTAGCATAAATTTATCCACTGTTGGTATTTGGGGAGAGAAAATATTTAAACTTAATTATTTAGGTTTATTTAGATCCTATCATTAAAAATATTTTAAAATCTGTAAAGTGGGTGTTTATTAAAAGAAAAAAAATAAAATAAAATAAACAGTTTTGTTTGTTTTCAAGGGGATCAGGGTTTTTTTTTTTTTTTATCTTTCTCAGAATAAAAAGTTCAAAGATGTTTGAATAGAATTAAGATTTTACAATGTAATACTGAAATCCAAAGGCACATTGAAATAACAAAAGATGGCTTTCAAATGCTCAACAAAGTATTAAGAAACAGGAAAATTTCATTAGAAACAAAGGTGCTAAACTGCTATGTGATATATATCCTATACAGCAGTGAATGTTGGACAATTTCCTCACAGATAAAGAGGAGACTTTAGTCCACACATGTGTGGTTCTAAAGAAATAGCATGAAGAGAACATGTGAGTAATAAGGAAATTATAAGAGAAATGGAAACAAAAAGAACACTTATCAAAAAGAATTGAAATTTCTGGGACACATAATGAGGAAAGAGAGCTTGGAGAACTTGACACTCACAAGATATGTTGAAGGCAAAAGGGACAGTGAAATGAGTAACCTACCTAATGAGTTTGTGTAAAAGGATGGCAGAACAGGGAGCAGAATGGATAGTTAAAAAAAAAAAAAAGTTATAAAGCATAGGAGACTGTAGAGAGCCATGACCGTCATATCCTGAATTGATACAGCATCTAGCTATCTATCTATCTAGCTATCTATAGAGCTATCTTTCTATGTAATATAAAAAATTCTGTGACATCTGTTAGTCAGTCTGTCACACCTTTTAAAATAGCCATACATTGACCAATCAAAACCAAATTTTGAGATGTGCAAACTGGTAATAGGCTACAAAGTACAGTTGGTTTTACTTGGGTGCATAGCTTAATATAAATTTTCATTAATTTTTGAGGGAAAAATTAAGTTTTATTATTTAGCATACAAAATATTCACACTATTTTAAAAACAATTAAATGATTTAAAATAACAAATATTTATTTAATAAAAACGCATTTTTTTTTTTTTTTTTTTTTTTGCATAGTTCTTAATATATACAAGAATCCAGTTTCCAGTTTGCCCTGTGTTTGCAAGAACTATAAACAAATGATGTCAAATGCTTTGAAAAGAATTTTTTCACTGTTAAAAAGGAAAAAAATTATTCACTATGAAATTAAACAAATTATTAAACCGCAAAGTTTTTTTTTTTTTTTTTTGTTTGTCAGTCTTTTTCCAAACAAATCAGCTTATTCAAATTTCGTCAATTGGTTAATGAAATTGAACGAAATGTAGAGTTTGTAAATATTGACAAAATATGTTGGCGATAACTTCAACAGTACTATATACTGTGAGAATGCATGTTGCAAAAAAAATTCTGGTATAAAAAAAAAAAAAAAAAAAAAAGCATGAATACTGGTGCTGATAGAAAGGATTCAATTCTTGCTGATGCTTCTGGAAGTTTTTGAAATTATTACTTTATATTTGAAACTAATTTTATTTTCCTTATTTTGCTTGCAGGTGCTACCTGTGTAAAGCGGTTTTATATAAACCAACCACTTTATCCTGTGGACATACATTTTGCCATAAGTGCCTTCAGAATGATGAGACACGGGCATGTAGGCTGTGTGGTGTAACTGACTACATCTTTGACCGCAAAAGCTGTCCACCAACCACACTGCTTCTCAATCTGGTTGACAAAGTTTTCCCCAAGCACTGTCTGGCTGAACGTTTGCGACAGGATGGCAAAAGATGTATGCAGAAAGGGGAGCATCTGCAGGCCATTGAATTATTTACACAGGCTTTAGTAGAAGGTAAGGAAAATGACCCAAGATTTTTAAAAAAAGTTATTGGCTGCTTTATTGGTGTTTCTTGGGTCAAACTTTTTTCTTTGTTTCTGTTCTCTCATTGTTTCCTAATCATAAATATTTAATATACAAATACAATGGTTTGTGGTTAGAATGTTTGTTTTTCAGGCCATAAGACCTGGGTTTGAATCTTATGATGGCCAATTTATCACGGAGGTGACTTGTTGTTATCAGCTGGGGAGGTCACCCCACCATATGGCACCATTGGAAAGTGTCTGAAAGCCATACCATCGGTTGACCTAAGCCTTGCAAGTGAAATTGGATAGAGGGGACTATTTGGAGGATGTCAAAGTTGTCCTAGCACAAGTTCACAGGTTATTGTGACAGAGGATTTGAATGTACTGGCCTTGTTCAAGCTGTTAATTACACCAGATGATGTGCTCTCTTCTAAAAGTTATAACTATGGTCCACTAAGCTTAGTTGCAGTATAATCTGCAGGTGATCTCTGTGGGTGTTGAACAAACACAAATGTGCCTGAGCAGACGTCTGCAACAGGTGTGCTCAAAAATGAGTAGCCAGCCATTATGTATAACTTAGAATGAGATTAAATGCTTGCTGTTTCTGTCTGTAATGTTTTTTGCTTAATATGAACAGTAGTATTCTGTGCAGTTGTTTCCATTTAGTAAAAAAAATTTAAATTAAACTAGTGATGTTCCCTCATTAATGAGTGAGCACTGAATTTTCACTTATGAGGAACAGGGGTTTCCTCAGGGAAACCCAGTGACTTAAACACCTTCTGGGACTTAAACTTAACCCAGACCTCAAGTGGAACTTGTACATTTTGTTCTATCTCTAAAGATGTTGTAAAAAAATGGTCAGTTTCCTGTACCACTGCAGTATGTACCTGCTATCCTCTGTGCTTACAAGAGCCAGATCAGGCTGAAAATGGATTACTGCTGCCATATATGGAAAGGAGATATTTCCCACCCTACAATCTTTTTTCCCCCATAGATGAAATCTCAAGCCTCTCTCTGTTCTATTGCTATTTTCATGGAAAGTGTTCAGACAAGCTACATTCCACCAGTTCAACGCTTCACAGCTGTGACCCACCATGCCATGCACATTGTAGTTAACCACCCTCATTCCCTTTGTGCACCACTGGTGGGATGTAAATTCCACTTGAGCAGCTTCTTCCCATAAACTACTGCTTTGTGGAACTGACTCCCAAGAGGATGCTTACCATTCACTACAATCTTAACCTGGTCATTATCTTCCCCCATATATTCACATAAACTGTGCCTCTTACTCTGTAACCCCCTACCTTGAGTGGCTCTTTGTCCTTGCATAAGGTGAACATCATTGTGGAAAAAAAATTGGAAACTTTTAAAGTAACTAAAAATAACTGCTTACAATATTTTGTATTGGTGTGGGATATTCATGTACACAAATCTCTTGTACATTAATTTTGAAATTGCATCTGTAAAACTATATTTTGCTTTTGATGTCAGGTCTTTATTTTTGTTCTTTTCAAATTTTTATCTTCACATTTAAATCTTTGAAGATCAATGTGAATCATTATTTTCTGCCTTATTTCCTGTTCTTTTATTGTTTTCTCTCCTTAATGTTTTTTCTTTTCATATTTTTTCATACTCATTGTATTTAGTAGCTTTATTTCCTTGTTTTTGGGTGAAATAATAAAAAAAAAAGACAATGGAACTTTCTGATTCTTCAGGTATATACATAACCATTTTCCTTAAAAACTCACACACTTAATGGTATTATTAGCTGTTTCCTTATAAGGAAATATTAAGCATTCATTAACCAAGCATCCATTCTACCATTGGATGAAATTTATCAAATCTTACTATTAAAACAATTTTTCAGGAAAATAGATTTCTAAAGTTCAGTAATTGTTATTTTAGTTTCTAGTATTGATGATGGGGGTTTTCTTCCTAACCTTTTGTTTGAAGTAGTGTGGAATATCAACATCTTAAAAATTCTCTTAGTTACATATGCTTTTTATTTTAATTGTTGCTGCTGTTGAAAGTCCTAGAGTAATATGATTTGTTGTTTGGTACATTTTCTTTGTTAGTGATTCTGTAATGCTATTCAATAAGATTTGATAAAAGATGGGCCAACATGCTTCACTTGCTTGAAGCCATTTTTACCCATTGAGCTGAGAAATTGGTTGTATACAGCTAACAGTTTAGATATTTCTGAACAAGTTTGGCATCATGCCTAACCTCCATATTAAAGTCTTGATCTGCCAAGCCTAAGAACATGGCTAGAGTTATTAGATCTATATTTTGATTTTGCGCCAACTTGCAGTGTTGTGCAAAACTACCCCAAGCACAGGTTCTGTTCAATTTCCTTATCTCCTCTGCTAAATTTTTTATAGCTTGTAGAACAATGCAAATAATAATAAAAATGAAGCCTTGCTTTTGGATTATCCTTTTCAAATTTGCAAAAAATTAATTTAACCTACTTTCTATTGTTGCTGCTGCTTTTTTTTTTTAACTTTAGTGTTTTACTTGATAATGACAGCTCAGTTTTGGGCCTAACAATTGATCATTTGTATACAATGTAAAAACCAAGTCAGCTAATATACAAAACCAGATATTGTACTAAAATTAGAAAAAACTAATCAGAGTATCAATAAAAATTATTTCAATGTTTGCTTTTCAAGATGACTTCTAAAACATTATGGGAATTAATCACTTACAATTTTTTATTTTTTTTTATTTTTTTACTATCTGGCAGTATTTAAGCTAGCTCCTGCAGAAGGCACTTGATTAGGACTACGGCTTGTTCAGGAGTTTGAGAGTCCCTAAATCTTTGCATAATCTCAGCATTGGAAGCTCTCTTAGCTGCTGTTTGATCTGGGTTTTCATTTACATTGAACTTTCTTTTCCTCACTGCAGCCTTGCAATCTCGTCCTATGTAGGTGGAGATTTCTTTTTGCGAGGTATAATGCGGCTATATGCGATAGGCAACAATAAACTAAAGAACTCCTACATATAATATGGAAAATGGTGTTTTGAGGTCTTATTTCTCGACATGGTGTTTCTTTCATTGTGTTACTTTGTAATTATGCATCATGTCCTTTTCTAGCTTTTAGTGAACAATAAGATTGAGCATTGAAAGTGCACCATGGGATAATCATTGGTCAGTCAGTAGAAAGCTTGGTGAGGGTTATGTTTACATACCTCTTACATGGATGCATGTTTCTACATGTGTAATTTCATCTCCCTATTCTTATTGGAAGTGGGCCAGGACATTTCTTTAAGAAATCCTTCTATTGATCTGAACTTGGCTCAGTTAACCTGGACAACCTTACCTTCACTTTACACAACTCCACAATGCCTATTATTTTAATCTTATATGGGATTTTTAATAAATGCATCTGCTTAAGAAAGTCTAGGCTTTTATTTTAATTTGATTAATTTGTTAAACTTTTTGCAAACTGTTTTTTTCCTATTGGTAATCATTAATTTTGAAAGTCAATTTTGAACATTTCTGATTGCAGCTCCATCATCTCACCTTGTCCTGAGTAACCGCAGTTTAGCATATTCTTGTCTGGAACGGTATCATTTGGCTTTGAAAGATGCCGAAAGAGTTATTGAAATGCAACCGACATGGCCTAAGGTAAGGGAAAGATTTTATTTTTGCCTCCTCACCTATATATATATATATATATATATATATATATATAAAAAATTCTGTATTTATGTAATCTAGCATATAAAGCTTATTTTGTATGTGTTTGCTCATTGTATCACACAAATCAACTTTAATTTTCAGGGTGAAAATTAAAGTTGGTTTGTGTGATACAATGAGTCCCTACTTGATTGATTAGGATATCCTCATAGTCAAGTGAACTGTAAATTATTTTATCTGCGGCTGAAGTGACTGTGGTTGTATGATATCAATCAAATCATGTGTGAGCTTCAAAGTAACTACCTGCTGTCAACAAGTAAACAAATAGAAATAAAATGTGTAAATAAGTAAAAACTTTCAGGACCAAGTGACACTTGACTAGCAGAGAATTTCTGTCATGGGTTTATATAGTTAGGCTGCAAGCTAGATAGTTACTCAGGAATTCACAGAAGAGGATTTTCTGTGCAGTCAATCACAGTGTGAGATGAAGAATGAGTTCTTACTGGCCAAAAGTGGGGATGAGAATCTGGTCTGTTAGTGCATCATGAGATGAGTAGTAGCAAAGATGTTGCAAGTGTTACTTACCAACTTATTGACCGAGCCAGGTGAATCCATGAATAAAGAACCCTTTTTATCAGAACCAACAGACTTCACTTTCTCACTTGCAAGATTTCAAGACAGCTGTACTCAAAACTTTTCCTGTGTGGTATCTTGCCTTCATTTTCTGTGTTCAATATACACCAGGCCTTTTTCAGTTTTGTTCACCCTGCCACAAATGTGAATTACATCATGGGGTAGTTGGTGAAAAAAAAACTAACTAAAGGAAACTTTGCATATGTTTACATTTGTGTGTGTGTGTGTGAGAGAGAGAGAGACTTGGGAAAATAAAAGAAATGACCAAAACTACAACATCTGTCTTAATCAGTTTAATAACAACACTAAGAAATTGACCCGTAAATTTGAGAGGATTAAAATAAAAATATACATATGTCTAGATTATTCAACCAAACATGCTTGAATGAAGATGTGCTGTGTGTGTGTGTGTATATATATATATATATATATATATATATATATATATATATATATATATATACACACACACACACACACACAAATGTATAAAACTAACATCAAATAAATGCAGCTTCATCATTGATAAATACCAGCATGTGTCTTATGTCTTGGCCAACTTAGCAGTTCTTGTATAATGAAAATAACTGCTTTATTATTCATTTCAAATTTCTTTAGTGATCATTATATATAATCGAATGAGTGGTTGGTTGATAGCTTTTATTTCTTTCTTATTCAAGTAGTCATTTTTGCTTTGAATTTATAATTGCCTTAGCATTTAGACTACACCTTTGTAGTAAAGAGAAGCTAGCAATGCTAACATACTACTTTTTTTTTCTTTTTTTTTACTAATATATCTTGAGAATGTAACAAATTTTATAAATTATGATAAAATGCTAAATATTTAGTCAAATTCTATCACTGAAGTTAAGCAGCACTGACTTTGGTCTTTTCTTAGCTGATGGTACATCTAATACTGTAATCAATAGCAAGTTCTTTTAATATGATTTGGACATTAATCACCTTAGAATCAGGTTTGTTTTGAATGGTGTGTGATCTCCAATAATCTTGACTGGTTCTTGTCATTGGATCAAGACTGATGCTGAGAGTTCACATAGTGCTGAGTACTTGATGCAGTTTCAGAAGATACTGAAAGTTTGAAACCAAGGTAGTGTGATCGGCTGATCTCTTAAATTTTTTTGAATTCAAAAGCTCTGCATATTAAATTTTTCTTTTCTTTATATTTGTACTGAGCACTTTTTAATAATTCTGTTTCCTGATCTAAATATATATATATATATATATATATATATATATATATATATATATATATATATATATGGTGTACTCTCACATCACAGGCAAATGAGAGCTCAGTAAAATAAAGAGGTACTCAACTTCTATAGACATGCATGTGTCTCCCAAGGCCTGCAGGTGTTTTGCAAGCTTTTAGACAGATGGAACATGTGGTTAAGTCATGTTGCTCATTGTTGAGGATTAATTGCCACATATTTCAAGGAGTGGACAGCAAGGCCTGTTTTAGTGCATGTGACAAAGTCACAGTGGCAGGTATGGCTATCATTGAGTAGAGCAGGATGCTGCCAAGCTTCTTTTGATATTTGCATGCAGTTGACCCCGATGTTCAAGTCAGCCTTGTTCAAACCGTTGTATAGATGAGAAGCAAGACAGGCACCAGCTCCTTTACTCTGATGTTTTGTTTTTCCAGAAAGAAAAGAGGATGCTGCATCACTTCATATTGTCTTTGAGTTTGTCATATATATATATATATATAAGGCTACTACCAAAATATTTAAACTAATTGAACTGCCTTTTAAATTTGTCATTATCCTTTTATGTCTTATGTAAATCTCTTAAGAATAACTTCACAGAAGAGAGAAGGAAAGAAACTTGGCCTGTAGGAGCCTTTTGCTAGTTTACAAATGTAAATTTATACTAGTGTCTTAGAATTGCTTTGAATTGGTTGACTTAATTAACCTATTTGAACAAACTGCTAAATATAAATTTCCTAAAAGGCTCACCTCTTTCCCCTTTTATGCAAATTTGTTTGCTTTTTTTTTTTTCTTTTCAAGATTATTTTCAGTGAGGTTAAAATTAGTCTAGCTTACAAGAAAGTCTTTACTTACTGTTTGAACTTTCTAGCATTGCCTGATTTTCCTCTTAGGCTACTTTTCTTTTCACTCTTCTGTCTCTCCTGTTTTTATTATCTTGTGTTTGTCTGCATCAGCCTTCTTTAACAAAATGTGATTTTACTCAACTACTGAATACTTTCACGTTGCAGAGTTTAGTGGGCATGTTTTAAGCAAAGTTCATTACCTGTCTTTTAATATATGAAAGGGTTTATAATAATTATCCGAAACCTTGAACATTTACTGATGGGTGAGAATGGGGTACTTAGCCAAATCTGTATATATTAGTACCATGATCATTATATTAGTATGCTATTAAAACCATATTCTTGATTCTAATGTCTGTCATTTTTCTAACAATCACTTCATTGCAAAAAATCTATTTTCATTTTCTCATCTGTTAAGTTTCTGGCTGAAATGTGCTTTTTTGTTGGGCTTTTAATTCATCATCCTCTTGTTGGGCTTGTTGGTTCCAATTCGCAATAGGAATGGTGACTTATTGTTAAATGAATGACAATTTTGGCACAAGGCTGAGGGGGAAGTGGCATAAGGCTGGTCAACATTAATTATTCTAGACTTAGCTAATCAGATTCACAACCCACTCACCCATTACAATTTGCTCCATTCCATAAAGTCCAAATGTTTTTCCTGTTTTTTTTTTTTTACAAAAATAGCTAAACAATATCTGGTCATGAAATGAGAAGAGAGGGAATGAACCCCAAAAAACAAAACTAAAATATAACAAAACATTCAAACTAAAAATCTTAGTAAGAAGCAATTAGCAAAATAAGAGTGGCCATAGTATTGTGCCTATAGACAGAATCAAGAAACTCGCTCACTAACAGAGAGGGAAGAATAAAAAAAAAAAATAAATAGTAGAGTAGGAAAATCAAAGACTGACCCAGTTGAGATGAAGAACGGGACAAAAAAAAAAAACTGGTGAGGTTGGGAATCTTGACATGAATCATAAGACTGCCAGGAGAAAGCTGGGAATAACATTTACTCATTAACTAGCAAAACAGTCTAGCTTAGCCAGGGGAAGGGTTTGTCAAGAAACTACTCTGTTGCATCAAAGAGGACTTAAAAAAGAAGATCGAAGCTGGCTCCATTCACTTGAACCAAGTTCACCACTTTCACCCACTTTTTTCTGAAATCTGTCAATAGCAAATGCTTTCTATCAGATCTGATCTTCATCTTAAGCTGATACCCAAAGAATCAGACCAGATCATTCTGAGAATAATATTCGTATCACAAGATTCCCTCTATCTGTGACATCCACACCACCATTTTTGCCACAGCTAGCAATGTGAGAAACACCATTCATTTCACTCCAGAGAACAGTGGTGACATATTATTACACACGTATGAAAGATCAATGGATATAAGATGTTCAGGATCAATATGAGCCATCAACATAATCCTAGAATGGTAGCACCTGAGGACAATGGTAGAAGGCATGCAAAGCTGTTTCTTCTAAACCAATGCCACACCAATGACAGGTAAATCCAAGCAGGTAGTCTTGCCCCGTCTGAAGACTGTCATTGAGAAATAGCACATTCCAAATCAATCATCACATAAGCAAAAACTCTGGTTGCTGAGGTAATCCGCTGTTGTTGCTCAAGACTAGAAAGAGTGCAACTCTGTTGCCAACAAGCCAAGCTGCCCACAGAGTGGGTTCGACATGACCTCCTCTTCAAGGGTCTTCGAGGACCAACAGATCAACACTTTTTAAGGACACTTTACTATTTCTGGGGCTAAAGAAGACACTCAACCCTGAAACAAGAGGAATGATGGTAAGGCTAGAGAAGGCTTCCCTAGCACACTCCTCCAAGATTAAATCCTCTGTCAACACACCAGCATAAGAAAGCCAACTTCAATGCATGTTAATGACTCACAAAGTGTGGCATTCCCAGACGACATGGATGATGGACATAAACCTTCTAACAGAATCTTGATATCCCTAGTGGCAATGCCACTGACAAGACCTCAACCTGCCCATATTTTGTGAAGAAGGCTCCTACATGGTCCTCCTCTACATCCATGGGCATCCAATGCAAAGTGACTTTAGTCCTTTGGGTACCTATATGCTCAGTTTGCACTCCCACCATCTTGGTAGTGATGATGCTTCCAGTTAGTGATCTTGATTCTTCAGGCACCAGCAAGATGTCACACATTGCATTTGATCTTCTTACCAACAGCTTGACACCAATGCTGAGACTCTTCAGCACCTCTTCTATTCCTTCCCTGCTAACACCCACCAACTTTCAGGTTTTTACATCCAATGTCAGCAGAGAAACTGTCCTTTTGGTAATAGCCTCCAAGGCCAAGGGAATGTTCTGGAGCTCATTCTCAACTATAAACACTTGGTACTTTTCATGTACATCCTTCTTTGGGGAGTGGGGGTGTCTGCCATCTATGCTAAGAGATGGACACTGGCTGATTGTTTCAGCTGCTTGGCAGATTCCACCATACTGGTGGGGTTCCCATGCCAGCACACAAATAGGTTTCAACAAAAATACAATGATAATGACACAAAAGACAAATGTGTAAAACAGTACTGAGGAACAAATGTGAACAAAAATAGGTCACTTACTTTTCAATAATAACAAAGAATGAGGCCAAAATATCTACAGTGGAATGACTGCAAAACACTTTCTCCTTCCCTTTTAACAGCAGAAGCACACAGATGCATGCTGGAATTTCTTCCTAGCCAATAATATTGGCAACTTGTCAGTGTCATCTGACTTGGTTCTGGTCTGTCTTGTTTTGAAGTCAGAATGCTATGTTTATCTGAAATTGCTCTTGTATGTCAACCCCAATTCTTAGTTAGTGAACTTTTTGCCATATTACTGTTGCTTCGCCTTATTACTGTTAATTTGCCTTATTACTGTTGCTTCGCCTTATTACTGTTGCTTCGCCTTATTACTGTTGCTTCGCCTTATTACTGTTGCTTCGCCTTATTACTGTTGCTTCGCCTTATTACTGTTAATTTGCCTTCCATATATTGTTTTCTTGCTTTGTATCATTTTTTGCCCTGTTTTTTCTTTTTCTTGTTATTGTTTATTGTAAACTTTATCAATTGTTTGTTGGACAATTCTAACATTTATTTACATTTAACCATGACCACTCACTCTACCGGGCTATTTTTCTTTGTCCCCTTGTCGGGCCTGATGTTCTACAGAATTAATCTAATACTCACCCTTTAAAATTTCTTATTCTCCTTCCAGGGTTATTATCGGAAAGGTTGCATTCTAAGCGAAATGCATAACTATGAAGCAGCTGTTACTGCTTTATTGGACTGCTTAAATATCAACCCGTATTGGTCAAAACCCAAGGAGATGCTTTTGATGGTAAGAACTCTTTTATTTTTTTTTTATTTTTTTTTTTTTTTAAATTATTTTTAATAATCATTAATTGGATGTAGAAAATTAAAATAAAAATTATCTGCTGCAGAAAAATTATTACTCGGTAAGTTTATAATAGTGGGAGGGAACCTTTACCCAGAGTTGCCAGTTTGGGATAAAAGTAATGAATTGGGCTATATTTAGAAACCTTGTCATCTTAAATGTTATATTGACTTGTATTGGTGGTTCAGGGTATTTAAAATCATTGAAAAGTTGCAAGTAGTGACATTGAGAATTTGGTAGCATTGGTCTGTTTTTGAGAACCTAATCTGGTAACTCTGTCACTGGGTGCTCCACTATTGTGGTCTTGTGCAGGACTAAGCTAATTTCACAAAAGTGATACATTAATGTTAATCTACAATGTTTTCTATGAGCTGTTGTTTTTAGATCATTCTGGCTGATTTATTTTTCAGTTTTCCTTAACTATACCTTGCTTGGGGTGAAATGATTTAAAAGAAAACATCTCTTCCTGCTGAGATTTAATCACATTCAATTCATAGTCTTGAGCAGAGCTCTAACAGTGTCATTTCCCAACAATGGAAGGTTTTAGTATTTTCTTCTTGATCGCATAAGCCCCTTACATATATTTTATTACTGGGCTTGTTTATACTGTATTTCACAATGTCATTGATAAGATGACATCCCTATATTTTTTTTTTTTTTTTTTTTTTTTTAAACTTCTGTACTAATTCAAACTATAGAGACCATCTTTAATAGTTGCTTTATTGATACCTCTACTCAATGTTCATGTTTATTTTTCAAATAGATATGTATGCCAAGAATAAGACAGAGGTTAAATAGTGTCTGTAGAAAGTAGGTATTAATCCCAACAGTATACCTGAGATAAAATGAGTACAAGGTGCAAATTTCAAAAATGGGACATAAAGATTTGGCACTGAAAAGATAACATAGTGAAAACATGAATTAACATAATTTGGTATTGAAAATATTAAAATATCATGTTACTAACTTGTAAATTTTCCAAATTTTATGTAGTAATTGTAATATCAGCCTGATTTGATCTTGGGTAGCTGATCTTTTTATTGAAATAAATGCTCCATCAATATTTCTTGATTACAAGCGTGACACATTGGGTCCCCACTCAATTGGCTAGAACCACCACATAGTCAAGTGGACTGTAATTGATGTTATTTGAGCTTGGTTTTAAGTCTACGGACCAGCAAAATCAAGATATGAAAGCTTCAAAGTAACCACCTGCTCTTGTAAAGTAAGGAAAAGGAAATGAATTATATAAATAAAAACTCAAGTGTTACTTGGATGGAAGATAGGTAATTCTGGTCAGGCTGCATTTGAGATAAGAGCTAGTCACAAGCTGTTTGTCATGATGTACACAGAAGTTATAGAGGTAGTCAAAGAGTCAGTCACCTGTTACAGTAAAATATCTCTTCTTTCTGGTTGAAGGGAAGGACTGTTAGTCTTTCATGAAAGAAAACTGAAGTAGCATCAAAGATATCCCAAGAGTCACTTACCTACCATTAAAACCGTATCAGATGAATCCATGATGAAAGAATTTGGTAGATCAAGAACTGGATTTACACTTTTTTTTTTTTTTTTTTTGCTGTGGCAATATTTCATTTTCCATCCCCTTGTTAAATGTTCAAGTTTTTGTTCGTACTGGCACCAATAAGAGTTGAACCACAGCATAGTCAGTGAAAATGTTTGTTCACACATTTCTCTTTATTTGCCACTAAAAATGTGGATCAGCAAAAAGTGATGATTTTTCTATTATAATAAAAAAAAATTGTAATTTGACATGTTATTTTCTGTCAGGCTCTTCACCAACTGTTGTCAGAAGATGTCAAGCGAGAACAAGAACTATGCAGCACTTCAGTTTCACACTTACTCAGCAAGAGAAGCCAAATGTCTTGCATGCCAAGAAATGAGTATGTACCAAGCAGTGGAGAAAGCAGTGACGGTGACAGACAGATGTCTGCTTCCTGGTACCAATTTCCTAAATTGTTCAACAGCAAGAAAACTGACTGTGAACCAGAAAAACAATGTCCTGCAGAAGCGGCAGCATTAGGGGCAGCTGCAGCATCAGCATCCTTTGAAGAGGTGTCCGAAAAGTCAACAGTGAGTATTTTGTTTTCTGTGTGTTTGTCGTGTGTGTTTGCTTATTTCTTAGTGTGTATATGTTTTTTTTTGTTTTTTTTTTGTGTGTGTGAGAGAGGCAATAAATTTTTATGTGAGGCAATAAATGGATAATATTGACTTGATGTTATTGATTTTATAAAAAAAGAAAAATCCTATTCATATTAATGATGGGCTTGTTTGGCTTAAGTAAAAATAACTTAAACTTAGCTATTCTTAAGTAATGTCTTCATTTTTTCTATCGATCTCAACTGGTTTTAACCAATCATGAAGCATTATTCAGAAATATAGCATGAAAGCTTACAAGCCATTTTTGACATGTTGGATATTTCATATACCTTCATAAATTTTAAGTTCCCTTTTTACTTTTGTTAAAATAAAAATAGCACTTAATGTGCTGAAATTGTTATGTAGTTTGTCTTCAATGTTTGACAAACAAAAAATATGCAAATTTTCATAATTTTAATTCTACCTTGACAGCTGTCACAATGATAAAACAAACTCTTTAGGTTACCAAATCCAAGCAAGTTGCTATCTTTTAATGAAATCAAAGTGAACACTTTATGATTTATATTAATGTTTAATTCTTATTGTTATATCTGTCAAGAATATCGGGATTGTCTTTTATTTACAACTTCTCTAAAAATCACTAATTTTGATTTTAACACATCAATATTATATAATTAAAAAGTTGACTAATTCAATCAATTAGCTGTGCTATTAAAATAAAAAGTTAAATAAAATTTTTAATTTATTTTTTAATCATTTCACCCCAAGCAAGGCGACACAAGGTATTACTGAGTGTGAAACAATGTGAGAAAAAAAAAAACAAACATTAAGGAGAGAGGCCAATAAAAGAAAAGGAATTAAGGAGACAGAAGATAACAATTGACATTACATTTAATTTTATTAGAAAGCAAGAAACGGGAAGAGTTCCACAAGGGAAAATTGTGAGAGAAGAAACTGCTGGAATATTTCAACAATAAAATGATGAGACCTAGCTGACAATCTAATACTGAACTTGAATTCATGAAGTCAATGTTCTAAATAGGAAAGCTCTTCAGAACAATTACCATGAAAATATTTATAGAAAAGGCACAGGGAAGCTGTGCTACGGTAGCGGGAAATTCAATGAAGCCAAGATATCAGGTTCATACTGATAACTGAAGATCCTTCTCTGGATTTTTATCAAGAATCTCTAAATATATGGCAGAAGCACCAGACTAGATGTGGCAGCAATATTTAATGTGTAGACAAATAGTAGACTTAAAAAGGTGTAAGGTAGATTCCGGCAAGAAAAATTGTCTAACATACTACAGTGAATTAAATTTCTTAGCAGCAGACCTAGCAATTGATTCAATAAAATCTTTCCACTTCATGTCAGCAGAAAATGTTAGCCTAAGAAGATGCAATGAGTCACTCTCCTGACAGTTAGCATCAGCCATGAACTTATTGAACTAATCAAATTTAATACTGAATCAAGAACTGATGTCATAAGGAAAGTCATTGATGAAACCTAGGAGCAGTAGGTCCAAGGATAGAAGCATTTGGGACACCTGAATTCATATAAAAAGATCTAGAAGAGTGACCGTTCAAGACAACTTTCATTTCATAATTTGATAAGATCAAAAATTTATCCAGAAATACCATAAACAATCAACTGTGAAGAAGCATGCCAAACCCTGTCAAACACCCTTGAGTTAACCAAGGTAGATATTTCTTTTTAGAGAAATTATTATTCTCTCTCTCATGTGTGTGTGTGTGTGTGTGTAAAAAAAAAAAAAAAAAATTAAAGCATGCTATATTAATGTCTAAAAATGCTCAATATTAGAGATAGTGTATGTAAATATAAAAGTGGACATTGAGATAAACACCGAATGGCGATAGTCTGTTTTATGCTTGATTACAATCTTCAGGCAATGTTGGGTTTTGGTTTGACTATTTATATGCTGGTCATGGTGCATTATGGCTAACAAAGGCCTTTTGTATTATCCTAACAGTTATTGTGTAGGTGGTAATGGTTAAATTTCAAATTATTCTAGAGTCTGAGTAGGAATAATTGGGAATCTAAATGCAGTTATTTGTAGCCATTTTATAATTGTTGTTTAATAATGATCATCATTGTTCCTTATCACACAGCACTAATCAATTACAGGCATAAACTCAGTTTATCTGATGATTGCCATGTGCATGAAACTTTGAGTAGCATTTTTGCAGCAAGAAACAATGATTTTTTTTTTTTTTTTGTATATCTTAGCTCCATTCTTTTACATCAAGCACTGTTTTTTACATCCAACACTGCTGTGCACTATATATATATATATATATATATATATATATATATATATTGTGAAGTTTTGTCTCTTATTATTGAGGCATATCTTAGCAACTAAATTGTATGGTGTTTGTCTGTAATCTTTTAATAATTGACAAATACAGAACCTGCCACTTTAAATATTTGATTAATGTATAGGGTGTGATGTTTAAATTGTCACAATTTTATATTTTTAATTTCATATATGCATTTTGTTTTTGATTATTGTCAACTGCACAGTGTAGTAGAGTAAGTTGGGCACTGTCTGTGTGAAAAAGAGCACCATGACACAATTCACTCCACCAGAAATTTGGAAATGGCATTCTGTACTGCTTGGAATTTGTACTGAAAGCTAAAATATGAACATTTCAGTGTTTGAGTATCAGTCTGAGAACAGTGCAGAGGATTTAGAAAGTGTTGGATGAGTCTAATGGTGATTATAAAGGTATTTGTAATGATCACTAGTGATGGCAATGTTATGCATCCATTCATCTTCCAACAGCACCTCAGACTCAATACAGAGGGAGCATTCACCAAATTAAACAAGGAAACCATCCAGAAGAGTTGCAGGAGATTCCAAAGTCGTCTAAAGGTTGTGGTTGAAGCCAATGGCGATTTTTATCAAATAAATTTACTCTTTTAGACAAGTCATCCATCGCACCCTGTACATAGCATTTGCAATAAATTTTACATTTAAAATTAGTGATTGTTTTTAATTTACTAAACTGTTGTTCTGTGCAGAGTGATTGTGATAAACTTGAAGAGGAAGAATGCTGTGTTCAATCCCGTAAAAAGAAAAGTAAGTTTTTATTATTTATTTTTCAGTAAAATGATTTCTTAATTGGGTCCCTTTTACCTGTTATATTGCAAATGGCAATGTTTGAGGTGGAAACAAAAAAAAAAATTATCATCTGCTTCACTATACTTACCTGTAAACACATTTGGCTGTCAATTGGATGTAAATAAATCAATTAACACATCAGAAAAACAAGACCACCATAGTTAAATGTTTGTATACAACATTTTATGCTATAAATGTTTTAAATTTGCTAATTTTCCTCAAATAACATTTCAGAAATGTATTTTTATTTTTGCAAGATTTTTTAAACCAAGAATTAACTTTTGTTTACAGATGTGTCAAAAATGTCCGTTTTGATCGATTTTAATGAAAAAAAAATTGATTCCAATCAATGTAATTTCTGTTTGAAATACACCACAGAGTATTTTGCTTACTAGAAATAGTAAATTTTAAATCCTTTAGCTTTCAATTAAAGCTAAAATGAAAGCTTTAAGGCTTTTTTCATTTTTAAAAATTCATTTTAAATATTACATATACCAACTTAGTGGAGGTACCTAGTAAAATGTTTTTATTTTATTTATTTACTTTTAATTTAAAAAAAATCTTTCAGGTCATTCTCTTCCAACTGAATTTAATGGCAAAACTTTGATGGAGTCGATGACTGTTCGTGCTGCATCTGATATGTCATTGTTACAACCTTTATACAAAATGCAACAACTATCAGAACCAATATTAAAAACTCCTAGTCCCTCTTCATCAGAAAAGAGTCGTAAGTATCAAACCATTGTGTTAAAACATTAACAAGGATTAGTCAATAAGTACCTAGCTGAAAATATTAGGTGAAGTTTCACTTTATAATGTTTGATTTGTATAATTATTTATCGAATTGTTAAAATGTTTTGTATGTTTTTCAGTATTCGGCTATGTACTTATGTAAATTATTTTTTTAATTTTATTTTTCAATTTCCAAGCTAGGATATCAGCTCATGATAGTCACTAAATTAATAAGTGCAAACAATCATCAGAAGTATCATCAAATGACTGCTTATTTTCTCATATATAGTGCGATGGGTAAATTGTCTTCTAAGTTATACAAAAATATCTTGAAATACTAAAGAGTAAATTTACTCAGTAAAATTGGCATGGCCTCTTGACAACTTTGGAATCTCATACAACTCTTCTGGATGGTCTCCTTGTTTAATTTGGTGAATGCTGCCATAATCCTTGCCTTCATTTTATCTTTGGTGTTACAAGGAGTTTCATTGGTTTCTCACTCAACTACAACCCACACATAATAATCAAGGGGGTTGCAGTCTAGGTGGCTAGATGTAAGGAGTGATGTGATCACAGAAATTGTCTGACAGCCATGACTGGGTTCTCCTGCTTGTGTGGCATGGGGCAGAGTCCTGTTGCCAGACATAGGGTCTTCCAGCAGCTACCTTCTTGACTCAGGTCAGCACTACCTCCACAAGGCACTTTATGTAGGCCTCTGTGTTGAGTCCAAGGCCTTGTGGGAAGATGAATGGAGGTATAACATCACCATCACTCGTGATCACTCCAAACACATGCCTAATCACCATTAGACTCATCCAACTCTTTGCAAATCCACTGCACTGTCCTCAAATTGACACCCAGACACACTGAAATGTTCATATTGGAGCCTCCTGCACAAATGCCAAGCAGTACAGCATGTCCTTTCCAAATTTCTGGTGGGGTGATTTGTCATGGTGCTCTATTTCTCAGATGGTGCCCAACTGCCCCTACTATACTGTGTTGACAAAAACAAACAATATGTGCGAAATTAAAAATATAAAATGGTGACAATTTACCCATCACACCCTGTATATAGTAATAATACAAATATCAACTTTGTCAGTTAGCTAATTGATATTATATTCAGCACCTTGACTTCTAGAGTTTTGTAGACATAATAATTGCTCTGTCCACTCTTCAGGAGCTATCATCAATTGACTGTTTAGTTTCTCATTTTCATTATATATTTCTTACTACCTATCAGCTTATATTCTTGGCTTATCATCTACAGAACCAAGTTCAGGTTAAAAAACAATTGAAAAGTAAATTCTTTTTTATCAAACTTTTATTAATGAATGATTGCTGCCTTTTAGCAAATATTATAGGTGTTAAATGTTTTACTAACATGATAGAATGGGCTTGCTAATTCCTTACATTCCTATCACAAGATTATAAAACAAAACTTGAACAAAAAAGTAAACTACATTTTAAGTTATCTTGGCCTAATGAATGTTATTTTCATTTGAATTAAACCCTTTTGTATTTCTTTCTTTCTCTAGACTCTAAAGAATTGTTGCTATGTGATGCAAGCTGCTGTATCCCCCTAACTCCACTGCTGAAACAAGAAGATCTTCAGTGTAGCCTGTGTCTTTATCTTTTGTATCAACCACTAGTGACACCTTGTGGACATGCCTTCTGCCAAGAATGCTTGGTACGCTCCCTTGACCACAATCCACAATGTCCTCTCTGTAAACAGTCACTAACAACAGTAAGATTTTTTTTCTTTTTTATTGTGTTAAAGAATAAAATCTTTATTTGTGCACCAATTGAATATTTTTTTTCCATGTCCTCATTACAGAGTACATTTCAACCTTGATGCTGTCTTTTTCTGATAGGGTGCCCTGGCATGGGTTAATGAATAGTTTTCGTCTTTTTGACCATTACTATTAAGTAGTGAGTTCATTCCTCAGTGTCCCATACCAAATTTGACATTAAATTGTCCAACAAGAGGTGACAGTATTTTCTCTATTTGCATTCAGCTTATTGCCCTCGTCTTTGTTGCTATCACAACATTTTGGCTATTGTGTCTTCTACCCTTCATTAGGTGTATATCAGTCTGGGTAATCTTCAGGTTGGTTGAGCTTGTTTAGTGGCATATCAACCTCTATGGATTATTTAATGCTGAAATCTGAATATTTTGAATGCAATTGCATGCCTTCAACTACAGATAATATGTAGTGTTGGTAATTTTAATAATTAACAGGGAATTCTGAACTAAGTCTCTTATTTAATGTATGGGTGTAATTTCTCATTAAACTCTCATGTATAGGGATATTTCCTCAAAAGAGACAATCAGAAGACCAAGTGGTGTGATGAGTTAGTGTTACAGAACTTCAACATGGCAATGTATTGCCAAGACAGATATTTATTTTGTTTTTTTCCCTTCAGGGTGACATGCAGAAACAACCACCAGTCCATGCAACAAGTTTTACTGGTCATACATGTTAGCAGTAGTAGGCCTAAGCCTGACCCAACCATAAAGATTAAAAGAAAATCCAATTTCTTGAAAAGTTATATTACAATGAAGAGTATGCTCAACATGCAAGCCATTTAGAGTAACCAAAATTGTTACTAAGTACAGGATTTTCATAAAGTATATGAATGCCGACAAGTTGTCTTTTTAAAATGTGTCTCTATTATTTATTTTATTCAAATCTTTTCCTGTCTTTATTTTTTTTTATTTAGTATTTGGCTGCACATAAATGGGCTGTATCTCAATGCCTGCAGAATATCATCCAGAGTTTTTTTCCTAAAGAATTAGAAAGAAGAAAGAAAATCCATGAAGAAGAAATGGCGAAATTAGCTCAGTAAGTTAAGCTTCCATCATTTCACTCTGTTGTTTTTAAACATTTTTTTCTTTCCAGTTAATGACGTTTTTTTTTCTTCCACTGGACCATTCAAATTTATTTTGTGTGTGTACAACAAATTTTAGAGAACACCAAAATTTGATATATATATATATATATACACATTCAATACCATTACTTGATAAGACACCAGAAGTTTTGAAACAAAATGGCTATTTTTGTAGTGATTTTATAACATATTTATGTTATAATTTTTTAATAAACTTTGCTTGGAGGAAAAAATAGCTATTATCACATTCCCAGACCAAAATAAATTACTAAGTGAACGATCTGAGCTCATCTAAGATGCAAACATGAAAACAAATTTTTAATAAGTTACTTAAAAATCGAAAACTGAAACGAATAAATAGAAATAAACAAAATAATAATAAAAAACAAGTAAATAAATTAACCAAATCAAATTAACAAACCAATTCTGCCAAACTGTTAGAACAGACTACAACAATCAATCCAAAAATTATACAAAAATAACTATAACTGCAATATAATGATAAAAAAACTACTATGTTACTTAGAAATAGAAAACTGAAGAGTAAATAAAAATATACAAAATAAAAATAAGTAAATAAATAAGAAAAAACAAGTAAAATAAATTAATCTAAATAAATAAATAAATGAACAAATTAACAAACCACTCCCACTAAAATAACCGTTAGAACTAATAAATATAAATCAGCAAAAACAAGTGAAAATAATCAATCCAAAAACTGGATGAATAAATAGCTTTATCTTCCCAGAACAAAACAAACTATTAAATAAGCCACCTAAGCAACCACCCACCAAAAAAAAAATTAATTTTTACTACGTTAATAAAACATCGAAAACCAAAAAGAATAAATATATAAAATAAAAAAAATAAGTAAAATAAATTAACCCAAATAAGCCACTCCTGCCAAAATAACCGCCAGAATGGACTATCCACTATATATATAAAAGAATTTATGGAATTTTCAGTTTTTAATAAAACTTACTAAAGAAAATGTGTCGCCCTTTGCCAAAAAAACTGGCATGCTTTGACCATTGGCTACAAAGAGCTTCATATTCAAAATGTAAACAAATCAATTTCTAAAGAATTAATGGATGTTTTAATTATTTTATCCAACAGATGGTTATGTCTACTGCAAAAAAGAATGAAGGTTCAAATCCTGCTGGAGGACACATTTTCTTTTTTCTTATTTTGCAGGCTGATAGACAAAATAAAATACTAATATATTAAATACAAATGGAGCATCTACTCAGATATTAATATTCACTAAAAATAATGTTTGAAGTAATAAATATATCTGAGATATATATATATATATATATATATATATATATATATATATATATATATATAATCTCACATCCACTTTTTCCAAAAGTATTTTACTTAAGGAAAAATTTGAAAATGTGTCCTGACTTATTTGAAATATTTTCTTTCCATACAGTTTGCAAGATAATAGTGAAATTCCTGTGTTTGTATGCACTTTTGCTTGCCCAACAATTCGATGTCCATTACACATTTTTGAACCGCGTTACCGTCTGATGATTCGGCGATGCCTGGAATGTGGATCTAACCAGTTTGGAATGGCAACTCCAACACAAACAGGGTGAGTAGACATGAATCATTAGATTTTATAAATTCTTTTTTAAATTCATTCATACCCAAGTTTGGTTCACCATTGGCAAAATAGTGTCTGACATGAAAAAGAAGCAGCGGTTTCAATACTTTCCTCTTGCAGAAAGTCACAGATTAATATTCGTTTAATGATGAATGTTTGTGGATACTAAACAGGATATTTGAGCATGGTTAGGTCATGGCTAATGCTTTTTAACAAAAGCAACAGCAATGTGTGTAACTTTGCACATCTGTCAGCTCACAAAAATGTATTTATATATGTGGTGACCTTGAAAATAGAAGTCATTACTTTGTTTATTCCTTGTGATATGATATATATTGACTTGCATGGGGTGTTGAAACTAGTTTTTTTTTTTTTTTTTTTTTTTACTCTTTAAACAATTCTGTAATCTTTATTTCAGAGTTTTTGCAGAGTTTGGCTGCATGTTGAATATCAAGAATGTGCAGTTGTTAGATGATGGACGATCGCTGTTAGACACAGTTGGTGATAGACGCTTCAAGGTATTAGAAAGATCATCCAAAGATGGTTACAACACAGCAAAGGTTTCTTTTTTAAAGGATGATCCAGTTGAAAGTAACGAACGTGCTGGTAAGATTCTGTCATTTTTATGTGGACATGTGTGACCTGGGGGTAGGTTAAACAGTATAGTTGCTGCTGTGAGGCATTTTGATTTAAAATTAAGGGGTTATTTAGGTCTTGTTTATGTCATTGGCATATATGCAAATGCTACAATGGTTACTGACACAATGAAGCAGACTAACTTCAAACTAAAGCTGAAATTGTTGTGTTCATTAGGCACTAATATCCTTGGAAAAGACACAGATCAATTTTAAATTATAGATTAAAATCAGCCAGATTGGGTCTTGGTTTGAAAATCAAGCTAAGAGAAGACACTGTGGTTTAAAAGCCTTGTTTTTGTCATATAGGAAAATCCAACATGGCGTGTAAACGAAATATTCGGCGAAAAATCCCATTCATCAGTAACATTTTAAACACCTCATAGTGTAAAGTTCTTAAAGGAAACGTTATATTTATAAAAAAATTTTCACTTCAAAATAATATCATTCAAACTTCATCCCTTTCTCTTTAATTTGGTGTGAAGATCATTTAATAAAAGGAATGGCTAAATGGCCTGGCGATGAGAAATATGGAAAGACATGCTACGAAAAAAAACAATGTCGTCTGCTAAGTGTTGTTGTCATCACCTGGGTCACAGTGTTAAAAACAAAACAAGACACATCAAGCCATTGTTCAAACATAGGTTTGAAGAAAAAAAAACAAAAAAACCTTATATCAATACCTACCAATGTTGACCTTTTTTTTTTTCCACTCTTTGCTCTTATCTGGGAGTATTGGGTTTTATTACAAGCTGACAACAACTTGTTCTAAACATTTACTGCTGGCTGGCTGACCTTTGACCCAGATATGTCAACGTCAATTTGGTTTAATTTTCCTTATCACTGCGATTTTTTTTGGAGAAAAAAAACAAACTTTTGATTTCTGGTGGTCAGAAATTGCAGATAAATCTTTCGCCTTTTAGTAAAGATTTCCGTGGCCCCGTGTCAATTTTTTAACCCCTGATAGTCATATAATTGAAAATTACCAATGGACTTTGTCATATTTTGACCCCCTAGAAATGTTGATTTCCTTCAAAACTCTCAATTTTATGCCTGAAATAGTTTATGATCTAGGATTTTTGATTTTCAAAAAAAAAAAAATTGTTAATTTCCCATTAATGGGGGAAAATTTTGTTTAAAACTAGGAAAAATGCTAAATTTTCACTATTTTTTTCACATTTTACCACCCTGAAAAAACATTTTGAGTCATTTACACCAGCCAATTTTACTTTTAAATGAAAGAATATATCCTTTGCTTTCAGAAAATACCTAGTTTCATGATATTTGTTTAGGTGATGATAAAACAGTCATTTTTCAATATTTTACCCCTATAAAAGTATGAAAATCCATTTTTTTTTTTTTTTTTTTTTTTTTTTTTTTTCAGAGAAAATAAGCCGTGACAAAATGACTTTTGACATTTTTGTGATGATTTTTACTTGGGATAGAAAATTTTTACCGTAGCAAACCTGAATTGACTTTAAGTTCAGTGGGGCTATAGGAAACCTCAAACAGCTGTGAAGGGTAACTCTGAATTGAAGATTGGAAAAGGCAATGAGAAATCTACTCTCTTTGACTTGAACAGTCATGACAATTCAGATATTACAGAAAGCTGGGGACAGCCATTTACCTATGTCTTGAAGTATATAGTATTTGGTTGCATCTCATTAAAAATGTTGGTGTTAATGTCTGCTTTTGAACCTAAAAGTAGTCTGAACATGTCTTTTTACTCACTAACTTGAAAATCTTTCTTTTAATCAACCATATTGATAACATACTTGCCTTTCTTTTCACTTCAGTAGTAAATATGAATCCTATAGATTGAACATTGCACAATGACAATTTCAAATCAAAATTTAGCTAATAACTACAGGTCATCAATAGATTTGATTCAACCTTATAAATCTGTTTCAACTCTAAAGTGACTAACTAGGTTTAGTGTGTGGCTCATTTGGCAAAGTGTTCCTTGAGATCTTCAGTAAATGAATTTGTGTCCATCTCAAACTGTTAGTATTATAACTTATTTTGATTTTCGATCTTGACTTTTTAAAATGGTTAAATCTCTGGGAATCTTAAGTTGTTATAAGTAATTTCCTTTTTAGGGAACTCATATTTTGAAGAATAAAGTTGATAAATAAAAATGAAATTATGTATAACTCAATAGAAGTTCATTGTGAGATTTTTTTTTATCTTATATTTTAAAGATCAATTCTTAGCAGATTTTTTAATTTCCTGTGCCTAAATCTATTGAGATATTAAAAGAATCTACTCATGAGTTGGATCAAGCCAATTTTGCTGTAAGTCATATTTGTTAATCAAACAGTGAGGATTAAATTTACCAGCAAGCGCATGGAAGATAGTCATACTAATAATTGCTATGACTATGGCAAAATTAAGCAATATATTTGGTCAATAGCAAATGGGTGTTGACTTTGGCAAACCTTCATGCCCAAAATAAAAAACACAATGTGTCAAAAGGATGGTTATTCCCTTGACACTACTGTTACTGTAAACACCCTTCACTTTCTCTGCAATGCTTTTTTAAAAAGCAATGATTAGAATTTTAATAAAACCCAAACATATGAAAATGGACTTACACATTTTTTTTTTATTCTTGAAAATTGACAACAGAAATATGAAACACTATTAGATTGAATAAAAAAAACTTCTTTTTAGTTATTTATAAAATGGTTAATAATAAATATTGTATTGTAGTTGGTTTGCATATTTTGATAATTTTGTAATTTTTGAATAAAGATTTCATTTTACATTTATTTCTTTATAAAATAAATAATAATAAATCTAAAATAAATAAATAATAATAAAAATCAGAATATGCTATTAATTCAAAATCTGAAATGTTTTGTGGAAATATGAAGATAAAAGCTGATATAAGGTGGAAAGAATATATTGAATCAATTACTGAGTCTGCAGCTAGGAATGTTGGTTTACTGTGTTTAGTTTGACAATTTTTCTCGCCTGAATCTGTCTTACATAATTTATAAGGCAACCATTCATCCAGTCTTTGAATATTGCTTCCACATTTGGTCTGGTGCTCCTGCTATATATTCAGAGATTCTTGATGAAATCCAAAGAATCTGCAATGTTATTAGTCCTGACCTAACTGCTCAGCTTCAAACACTTTCCCATTGCTATAAAGTTGCTTCCTTGTGCCTTTTTCTATAAATGCCTTTGTGGTAATTTTTCTGATGAACTTTTCTTGTTGGTACCTAGACTTTATGAATTTAAGAGTGCATTACAAGATTGGTGGCAAGATCATCTCATTTTACAGTGAAAATGGCTATAGATGTAAAACTGTAATTTCTCTATTAACAGTTTCTTCTGTTATACTTTTCACTTATGGAATTCTCTTCCAGCTTCTTGCTTCCCAGTCAAGTTTGATCTTCAAAAATTTAAATGCAATGTCAATCATTATCTCCTGTCTTCTTAATTCTTGTTCTTTTATTGTTCTTGCTCCTTAATAAGATTTTTTCTCATATTCTTGCTTCCCTGTTAACTTTGATCTTCAAAGATTTAAATGCAATGTTAATCATTATCTTGCCTGTCTTAATTCTTGTTCTTTTATTGTCTTCTTCCCTTAATAGTATATTTTTTCTCATATTCTTTAACACTCAGTAACCTCTTTCAAAACTCATCTTCAGGCTATAAGCGCTATTTTTTCTCCTTGGTAAAAGATGTAAAAAAAATGAACGTTCACTCATTCTAAGATTTTATCCAAATGAATTGATGTGTTCATGCTGTGATTGTATAAATGGACAATATTGCAAGGTTATATTCCTTTTACCTCTAAAAAAGAAATACAAGGATGGGATAATGAAACTCTGCTTATTTATTCAAAAAGGCATATGAGCTGTGCAAAGCAGGGATATTCAATACCATGATGATCCGTTTTGTTGAAAATCGATTAGCATGTAAGCTTCTGTGAAAGTTCCTTTTAAATTAAATATGATTGCACTGTTCTTGTGGACATTGAGTACTTGTGTGTTTATCTCTTGCATATTCTATACATCTATTGGTAATTACAATTATGACTGTCTTTTGGTATAGTGGAGCACTTTTCTGCTAATTTGAGTATGCAGATATAGCTGGTAACTCGGGGGGGAATTGGCCATTTTTTACAATCAGGGTTTGAACACATTAATTCATTTGAATGTACCTCTTCAATGGATGAACACTTGTTCATCTTTTTCTGTGTGGGGAGGGAGAAAGCAGCACTTATGATTTTAAGATCCGTTTTGATGAAAATTGATTTGCCAGTAAAATGCTGTACAAGTTTGCAAATAGATATAGATAAAACAAATAGGTGGTCAGACCCTCTCTTGAGTGTGTACATTGTAGATAAGGTAATCTAATTTAATTTGATTTATGATCCTCAGAGATCCCAGTGTACTTTCCTCCCATATACAGTTTTGTCTTTCATTTATTTTAACCTTAGGAAGTCAAAGAGAGCAGGTGCTCTTGGTGAAACACATCATTAATAAATTTTCCATTATGTCTCATTTTCATAGTTCCCTCCATAAAATAAACTGATTTCAAGCGATGTTTAAGAATTTTTTTGTCAGATGTGATCAGACCTGTGCTAGAAAAAATAGCTACAATTAATGTAATATTACCTCTGCCTCATATTATGAAATTTGCATATGCATTTTATGCACTAAATGAAACAACTCTGTTACAGGACAAAATTAATAATAAAAATTGTCAATTTCAACAGGAACTGCCCAAAAAGCACTCTCCAGCTTTGACAGTTCAAAAGTGTTTACATGACTTTATGGAGAAGTTAATTATTTTCAACCTTACAGCTTCTTTCCCCAAACATGAAACTTTACAAGCCCATCACTACTCCATCGCTACTTCTATGGCAAATGTTCAGATGAGCTCCATTCTTTAGTTCCACCATCCCAGACCTTTATATCTTGGACATTTACACAGTCTTGTCAGGGATAGTTTATTCTCCACTCTGCAACTTCTTTCCTACAGATTCAACATTGCAAGTCCTTCACTACTCTATGGCTATTTCCATGGCAAATGTTCTGATGAGCTACATACTTTAGTTCCACCAATTCAGACCTTTACACTTAGGGAATGTATGTTGCATTGTGTGTCCTTTCTATTCCATTATTTCACTCTAACAGCTTCTTCCTGAGGCCCTCTATTTTGTGCATCAGTCTCCTGAGAGAATGCTTCTCCAATCACTACAATCATCTTTTTAAGTCTTGGTTCAATTGTTATCTATCCTACATATCCTCATAATCTGTACCTGCTTCCTTTTATACCCTTACAACAACCTCACTCAGTAACCTTTGAATGGCTCGTGGGCCTTGTATTGGGTTTAAAAAGAAAGTATACTGAATTACTGTTATTAATATGCATTCCTGTCATAGTTTTGATAAAGATTTTAATTGTTTTATTTTTCTCCTTTTTTTGTAGATCTGATAAAACTTGAACAAGAAGTTTACATGTTGAGTAAACAATGGTTGGATTGCCTCCTTCCAGAAAGGCTGAAAAAAATCACTGAACATTATGGTCCTCTGCCAATTCCTGAAGAAGCAGAACTTGATCAGCCCAATGGTCCGTCCTGGGTCTGGTGGATGATTACCATCCTACCAATTGATAAAAAGCTGCAGGTTACTGCCATGTCGTTCACCAAACTTCATCAAAGGCTCCAATTCATTAAGAGTGCCATCCTTACAATACAAAGCAAACTTTCCTCCTAAGACCAAGAGGCATTTTTCTTTTTCTAATAACACCATCCTCCTCTCAATAATAAACAAAAAATGGAATTGGACAAAAATCTCAGTAATTTTTGTAATTAGAAAAATAATTCTTTCTTTAGATTGTTCTTGAAATATTTTTTTTATTTGTCACGAAAGTACCTCTCTAATTTTACATTTTTATATGAACTCTGATATTTATAAATTTGAATTTTTATATTTAAAAAATAAAAAAAAAATAGAAAACTCTTATTAGGCAACTTGATATGTACATACATATCTAAAATGAAAAAAAAAGTTTTGTTTAATATTTTGTACTTGTCTTTCAAACTAATTGTTCTTTATAGATTTCAATCTCAAATTTTGTCAGTCTCTCAGAATTTGTCAAATCCAAATTTTGAAAAACACAGTAGGTGAGAAAATCTGAAAAAAAAACAAACTTTAAGACCTTCTTGTAATGAGCATTATTAATTTTTTTTTTTTTTTTTTTTTATTAGAATTTTTCATCTTAGCACATTTATTGCAACATGATGCATGTGTCTCATGGAATATCACCCATTGATGCACATATGTCTATTTCAGTTTTATGTAAGGCAATAATGCAGCTATTGCCAATTTTATTTTGATTAACTTTTTTTTTTTATTTTTTTTTTTTTTTAAAGAAAATGCCTATGATGTACAAGAGTCACCTAACAGTATGAAGAAAAAAAGCAAAGCTAATACCAGGGTCACACACATTATTCTGTATAGTTTAATAAATGTAATTTACCAAAATAAAGCATAGGGAGACTTCTATAGCAATTTCTAATGGTAACTAACGAAAACATAAAAGGTATTATTTTTTTTTTTTTTTTCAAATTTTTAAGGTTTTTTCTTGGTTCAAATTTTTTTTTTTTTTTTTGTTTTTTGTTTTTTGTTTTTTTTGTTTTTTTTTTTTTTTTTTTTTTTTTTTTTTTTTTTTTTTTTTTTTTTTTTTTTGTTTTTTTGTTTTTTTTTGTTTTTTTTTTTTTTGTTTTTTTTTTTTTTTTTTTTTTTTTTTTTTTTTTTTCCCTCCCAAATTGTCATTCCTGATGTATTGTTTTTTTTTTTTCGTTTTTTGTGTGTTTTTTTTTTTTTTTTTTAAAAAAAAACTTAAAAGGGAAAAATTATCTAGTCAGACATTAATAATTGTTAAAGCTTAATCCAAGAAATTTGAATACTACAATAGGTCTTGATTATATTAAAAAAAAAAAAAATTACCAGCAATACATTTGGCTCTCGACAAAAAACCTATTTACAAAAACATGTCAATGAATTCTGATCTCCTACGAATTGATGTCTTACAAAGAATATTCTGTTCATACGAACCTATTCTAAGAATCTTGCTAGCATTGAGGTTGATATGCCGTAAAACAAGATAAACCCAAATTTAATCTGCTGGAGGTCCTTCCAGTGGCTGCCTGATCTGTTTCTAGGTTATTGTCAGTTATAGTAGAGTGTAAATATTTAAACCTTGGACAACTTTGCTTTTTTATGCCCACTTTAGTTTTTTTTTTTTTTTTGTTTTTTTTTTTTTTTTTTTTCATGTGAGTTACTGCACCCAGTTACCATAATACTTTAATGAAAGATGCTAGGGACTGAGAAATGGCTAAGAAGTTTGTTTTAGCAAACCATTTTTAAATATAGGAGTTAAATGAGTTCTTCCTTATGACTCTGTACCAGATTAATCTAAGTTTAAAACTACCTACTGTAGTACTAGTTCCACATTGGTTATTGACATTAAATGTTTGAATAATTGCATTAGTATCACTGTTGTCCCGTAATAGTTGTGATATTTGCATTCACTTTTCATACACTAAATATCTCAACTATTATGGGACAGTTAATGCTCTAAAAAGGTATAAAAAGAAACAATGGTTTCTTCTTTTAAGTGTTTAATTTAATAATTTTTGTTCTAATTGTATGTCCTTCATTAATTAAAAGGCTTGCTGGCTTACTCTTAAGGACACCAAATGAGTAGCTAAGGTCATCTCAGGTTGTTTGAAGTGCCAGGTTGGTGAGGCTTATTACAAATATATCGAATGGAGAAAAAAAAAAAAAAAACTACTACTATCTACTCTAATCAAAGGAATATGATACTTATCAAATTTGTCACAGATCTGAAATCCTATCCCAAATGCAGGATTGATGAGGTCTGTTTATATAAACACTTAATGAAATAGAAACTTAACAAACCTGTGCCAAAGGCTTATTGCTAGTCATTTTAGGTTGTAATTGTTGTTAAAGATAAAAATTGGCCTTTATCTCTAATGGCAGGAATTCTATAAAATTGCTCAGTCTATGAATCTAGTTTATTTTAAATTTAGAAACCTCTGAAAGAAAAAATACAAAAAAAGAAAAAAAATTAACATTCTATAAATTTATAAACAAGAAAATGAAACTACCTTATAAAATTTGTTTTATTAGATTTGAAGAATAATCTGGTAACTTCTGGATTATTATACAAGACAGCTAATGCCATTAACAAATTGTTTTATCTTTATTCAGAGGTTGATTGGCCAGCTGTTGCTTTTTATTCTATTTTCTATTTCTTATTTTTACTGAAGATGATACCTGACTCAAAATTTAAGGTCTGTTGTAATTTAGATAATAGAGGAATACATTGACTTTTTTTTTTTTTTTATCAAGTTCAGCTGTTATTTTAATTTCTGTAAATATACTTCCAAATTTTAGCTATCTGAAGATTACTTAAGGTTCATTGACCAAGCAGCCAGTGCTACTTTCGGTCGAAGCCATTTTTCAGCAAAATAGGTTCCTCAAGTCCAGTAACTGTTATCTTTTTTCCAGTATTGATGTGGGCTTCCTTCCTAATTCTTTGTTTGAAGCTGTGTAGAATTTCAACATTTTGATTGTCGTTATTCTCTCTTTAAGTTACATGTTTTTCATTTTAGTTGTTACTGAAAGTCATCAAGTGATGTGATTTCTGTTATATGATAAGGTTCTTTGTTTGCAATTCTGTAATGTCAATTCAGAAGGTTTGCAAGAGTGGTCCTCACTAAGACCTACAGGTTTCATTAAACTGGAAGCCATTTTTAATCAATGGAGCTGAGAAAGCAATTGTATACAGCTGACAATCAGTAAATGTAGCCACCTGCCTTTGACTTCCAAAACTCTTATAACTGGAATTATGTTTATTTAGACTCAGTCACTTCAGGTTAGGATTGAATAGCTTTTACAGAGTTTTTCATTTCCCGCAACAGCCAGGATGTGTGAAGTACATATTGAAATGTCATTTATTAATCCTCTACTTTAAAAATAAAAAATAAAGACTTTAGAACCTTCTGGTGTCTCCATTAGTGAGTTAGCACATGTCATGTCCTCAGATAAATAATGGACCATTCCATTTTGATAACACTAAAAAAACTGAAGGAAAAAAGTTTTTTTTTTTTTTTTTTTTTTGTTTTTTTTTTTGAGAAAAAGGTAAGCATACATAAGACGGAAAGAAAGATAACTCTGTCTACTTCAGTGAAATGGAAAAATCTTGGCAGTTTTTAATCTTTTTCATTTGTACCCTCTTTCTTCTTTAAAAAATAACCTGCATTTAAACTTATTATTGTTGCAGTTATATTTTGTTAAAGTTGGTAAGCTCAGATATTTAGCAGTGCACCAAGGGAATTTCCATAGGTATTTTATATTTGTGGAACTTGAAATGGGCTTAGTCAATCATTACATTAATGATTGATTCATTAGAAAATTTAAATAGGAAAACTGAAATTTTCACTGGTACTGCTAGTAATATTGAAGAACTTTTTATAGATTAAAAATAAAAAAAAAATGTACAATTTATGCCATTTAGAAATAGTTCCTGGTTTGGCAAAATGTTTGCTGGAGAAGGATGTCTGTTTTTTCTGTCCTCAGATCCCCTTCCCCTGACAATTGAAGCGGTTGAGAGACTGATGATGATTGCTGCAGATATCTATATTTCAAGTGAGATATAGATATAGAGATATATATATATATATATACACACATCGATATAAGGTTTAAATATTTTGAGTAAGTAATGCCAGATAATAAAAATATCAATGTCATTCTTTATATTGTGGAGTGCAGAACTTTTCTGTGAGATGGTAACGGCATGGTTTTTATTTTAACTTTTTGTACAAGAATGCTTCCAATGATTTGAAGTCTTTAGGTCAACTTTTCTACATTTTATAAACACATTTTACTTAAACATATCTTGCTATGTGACTAAAATTAACCATCTTGTAAAAATACAAAATAATGTATGAAAAAAAAAAGAAAAACAATAGTGTCTCAATATTGCAATTAATATTTGGGCTGTGTTAATAAAGCAATCTATATTCTAAAAGAGCTGATTCTCTGTCTGTCTGTATGTAGTGTATGTGTGTGTGTCTGTTTTGTGCATGAATGACTTAAATGTGCTTGTGCCATTTAATGTATGCACAAATACATGTACATACATAAATGCACACAATTTGACTGAGTTTGAAATAAAAAAAATCAGAATAATACATTCCTATCCCACTCAGTATGGATACCTGCGACCCTGGACTGAGCATTAAAATCAAAGCTGGCAACAAAAAAAAAAATTAATTTTTTTAATTCTTAAAAAATACAAAATTTTACTGAACTTTTTGGAAAATATTTGACAGTAGATTTTTTTTTTTAAATTTGTAGAAATATTTTTAAATCTGTCATTGAATCAAAAGATACATGTGCCCACACAAACATAGGTACAGACAATTTGAATTAATTTGAAAATGTACATCTATGTCACAAGGGTTAATTTCCCCTTTTTGTCTGGCAACAACCTCTGGCAAGAGGAAAAACGTATAAGTTAAAATGTTTGACACCTTGAAGTCACTTTTATGACTCGTGTAAACTAAATACATTTCTAATATAGGTAGTAATTTAAATGGACAAACAATTTAGGTTTGAAATTTGATCATCTTGCTGCCAGTTACTAGACTGGTATCTTGAATTTCTGTCTCGTCAACTCT